GGCTACTGCCTGAATATCTTGGTTTCTTCTTTTTAAAGGTCACATTATTCTGCTGTCTTACAAAGTTCACTTGAGTATCATTTCATTGCATTTGATATTGAGGTATACTGTAGCTGAACGTGTTACAATGGCCCAAAACATTTCCATTGAGGGAAACGCACTGCACTTCAAAAACAAGGCAGATACAAAATACACAACTGTGCCAAAACACATGCAAATGAAGAAACGTTTTTTTCTGCAAAAGGCTCAAAACATAACAGAAACGGAGACACAGAGTGACGCTCACAGCTGGGACCTAGCGCTTGTTGACGTTTGGGGATAATAGACCTGGCCAATTGTCATGGTCACTTTTATCAGCTTAATTTAACTATGATCACAGGATTCCTTCAGAAATGTCTGCAGGTCTGCTGGAAGCTAGCGAGCTAACAAAGTTAACCTAGTCATTTCAAATATACTGACAAACCAACGTTGTGAAATAGGCTATCTCTACCAACAGTGAAAGTAATCAGGTTTCTTCACTTGTATATGTTGATACTCAGATAAGGTTACTGATTAATAAATGTTTACAGGTCATTTGTACAATAAAAGTAACAAATACATGTTTAAAAGAACCCTCCCAACCCAAATCTGTAAGTAGGATATTCTGTGTTTTTCTGGTTTCATTTCAAATACTTTGGTGAGACTTTTACTGCTTCCCTCACAAAACCTTTGTAAGAAAATGTTGCTTTTATATTCTGCAAGGCTCACATCTGCACTACATTATAAGGTATACGGAAAGGACTTGCCATGCAGTATGTGAGTCATCCTTTACACAGAGATTGAAAGCTTAGCAATAAACATAACATGCTTTAAAACCACACTGCATGATTTCAGTAGGCGACCCTCAGCACATTCCTAACTATTCAGGAACCTCTGACAAGAGTTTAGCCCTCAAGGCCGGTCAAGAGGGATTCTCCATTCATGTTTTGTGGCTTGTTGTCATGACATCGTACTTCCAATGACAAAAAACAAGGGACAAATTTAAAGACACTAATTAGACGGAGTAGACATCGAAGGATAAGGGAGAAAAGACCTGCTGGAAGGGTTTACATATGTATGATATTCCCCCCCCCCCCTTCGTCTTCCTCCAGAGCCACCAGGGTGGCAGGAGAAGCAAGAAAGGAACAACTTTATAATGTATTACCATCAGTAATTTAGGCTGAGGGTGAGATGGGTTGATGGAAAGAGTGGGTACAGGACCTGCCCCTACATCCTAAATCACATCCTCAGCTGCAGAGACCCTAATGGGGAATGTGGGACGTCTTCGTCCTTGCTGGTGAGTCACTGGGCTTTTTCTACACAGCAAATAGTGAGTGTTATGACCATGAGATGCAAATATAAATGTCAGGTTGATAAAGTGCTCTACATCACAATTTATTGTACAGGATGTCAGATTCTTTCAATATAGGAATAACAACTATTTTAAAATACATCCTGTTAAATGTTGTATTGGTCAGGTATCCAGAGTTCCACTTGCCTTGAACATGACACGTTTAACTTCAAATACCTCTATTGAGAGTCTGTACATGTTCCTCCAGATCTCAAGAGGGATTTGGGAATTTCACATACACAGCTCTATTGATGACATTCCAGATATGACTGACCTGTCCCTGCGTGAGTTCTCGTGACCATAAAAGACCACTCATGTCGAGCTTATCAGCGAACCATCTTACAATTCCTAAACCCCCCACTCCTCCATCAGGAGAATAACTTCAAAAAGAACGCCATGTGCCTCAGTACATGAAAAAAACATCCCTGAGTGAAAGCGTAGTGTTGACCGGCTGAGAAAGATGACGCCTCGAGCTGAACTATTGGCAACACATGACGATATTTATGGTTTCTTAAAGGAACGTATACATTATAGATGTAGTCGGGAGGAAATCTCAAGGATCCCTTAGAAGAGATGAATGTTTCAAGATCACACTAAAAGAGGCACTGCTTGTGCTATCCATTTTGTATTCAAGCTGTCAGTCACAGAGCCATTATGCTAGTGAGTGCGGAGGGTGGGGGGGATTACACAGCCTCAAAGATTCTTCAGGAAAGAACTTGTCACTTTGCTGTAGGGATGCCTCATTGGAATGAAGTGCATGAATATAATAAATTACAGTTAGTCTCAACATTGCTACCTCTAAACTCTTTGTTCATATCTGAGGTTAAGGCTTCGACGTAACCTACATAAGCCTGGCATGAAGACATGAAGACACAAAGACAGACAGAGTACGAGAGGCAGAGACAAGCTAGTTGGACAGGTACAGAGAGACAGGGAGAGTGCATTAGCCTTGTGTACACGCCTCAAAGACCACCCCCCCCCAGATGTAGTCAGATCGCAAAACACGGCCCACCAATCTGGCTGGAATAAGACTGAGATGGAGTCTCTGAACCGAAGAGGTGTGGAATGTATAGCGGATTTCATGGTAGTCAACCAAACAGCAAAGCAGTCAACCAGCTGAGGGTGTTTTGTATTGATCTTCTAGGCATTGAGTTGAGAAGAATTAGCAGGTAGGAGTTTGGTATCTCGGCTAAAGGTCAGTGAAATAAGGCACAGGAGTCCTGCATCAAACATGTCTGCCAGTTACTTAAGATTGTTCATTCGGTACCAAAATGTGGCCGATCAACAACATAACTTAAAAAAAAAGGTTGTCATTGCGTTATGAAACTGATCTGGAACCTGTTTGGTCATTGTTTGGTTGGGTTCAGACAACTTAAACATGGCTAATAGAAGAGTTGCTTTATCGACAGCAGATTTTGTTCATAAGTAAAGAACCCAGTGATGACTGAAACGTAGGAAACAGCATCTGGTGTCAAAGTCAGGCGCTGGAGGACCCTACTTGGTTGAGATTGATTCTCTTGTGGTTCATAACATCTACTGGGTCAAGGTAAGAAATATATAATTGTCATGGAGAAAAACATCTGCTTGAGCAAAGTTATAGGTACAGATCGTGGTTGATAGAAAGCAAGTAGAAGGTCTCTCAGTGTTCGACTTTGACTCTGGAGACAGGCACTTTGTTAAGGTTGGCGAAAGTTCATCGCCATTGTCAAAAATAAATATTGTGTCAATATGATGGGTTCATGCTAATTGTTGGTCTTGGTTCAAAGAATCAAAGACTGGAAGCAGTTGAATCCAGTATTATCGTATTTGTAGAGAAACCACCCTGACTTTGTTAATAAGGGAAACCTATCCCCTTTTATAAATGTTGCACATAATGACATAAGCTGAGCACCAATGCCCCTGTAACAATAGAAGTAGTGGTTTTATGTTCATTGTTGTAGGCCCTCACCACAAGACCAACATGATGTCTCAGGTGGTTTCTAAGGAAATAACCAACACTGTTATTTTCTGGTGAGGATTTACTGTAATGAAGTCAGATGATGAAGGTGCTCAAATAGTGTAAACTAAGTGGTGAATAATGAATGGAGAGTCAAGGTTAAGGTGGCTGAACCAAGATGGTAACTCTTACTAAACTACTGCTGCATTTAAGTTAGAGGGCTTCAAGCTCAATCTCCCTGTTCTACCTCTCCATCCATCAGCAGAACAATCACCAACGGTGAATGAAGATTAAGTAGCAGATCCCCTCTCTCTGCTCTCGAGGCCAGGCCTGATTTCCCCCTTACTTTGCCACGAAAAAAGGAAAATACTTTAAAATAGAGGAGATAATTATTAAAGATTAAAAGCTGAGGGTCAGCCACACAAAGCAACCTCCTGGCCCTCTCCATCCATCACACACTCATGCAGCCATACAGACACAAATATGGACACACAAACATTTTCTAAAAAACAAGTTGATGCACCGTGTCATAATCAGCTCACACAAGACTGAATATGTGGGATTTTTTTTTCCAGCAAAAGGAAGAGCCGCAACAACAAATTAGGCTAGTGAAACCACACAGAGGAGCCCGTAGGCTTCCTGTGAGCTTACATGACTATGTAAATGACGTATGACGGCCCTCTTGTGTAAGAAGGGGCAGGGTTTTCATCCAGTGCCATGCAGAATGGGCTTGCACATGGTCAGTGTCATTTTAGAGGCGAGTAAGTGGTCCTGTTAACTGCTGCTGTACAGATCAACACGGCGGCAGGTTGCTCCTGTCTTTGACCTCAACAGTTGTGTTGTGACACACACACAAAAGACAACATGATGTCCTTCAACCAGACATTAAGCACTCTCACCTTGATGCACAGCAGCCCTTTAAACCCAACGATCTTCAAGTATTTTTTAAAGTGCACGATTAAGAGGTTAAAATAAAACAATTTCTATATGTCCCTGCTGTTGTGATCCTTCAATTTAGTGCAGCATTTCATTCCTGCGTCCATTGTTTCAAGCAGGAACACAGTTTAGAATGCTGCAATGTGAAGAGTGTATGGCACATCAAATATTACATTTTTATTTTTAAATAATGAAAAAAGCCAAATGAATACATACTTTTGTAGGTTTTCAGTTAGAGTACAAATGTATAATCTAAAGGGTTTATTGGAGATTGAGCAATAATATATGACTCCCTCCTTCCCCAATCAATTAGTTTGGATGAAAAAGCTTGCATCATTAAAAAGGAATGAATCATTCATTAGCATATCTCCAATTCCAAATAAATAAATACTTTTCGAAACTAAATCACTAAAAACGAAATATTATTCTCAGACTTTGAGACCGCGCACAGATGGATACAAGTGTTTGAAGATGTGATTGAACAGAAAAGCAGAGAGTGCTTTCATGCGTAATTGCTGGGAGAGTCAAAGGTCACGACCGAACACAATTCACAGTCGCTGCACAATTCTGGCATTTAGGGCTCCGTGTGTGTCGGTGCGCATCTGTAGCTTCCAGTGCACCTGTTAACAGTGAGCCACAACTCAGCGACACGACAGAGCGCAAAGTCTCCGCTCTGGGCGTCACGGAGTTTCTTAAAATCCCCCTGCTCTTCATGTGGATTGTGAAAAACGAAGAGACAAATAAATCACGGTTACTCACGCTGCTGTTTTGCCCTGACCAGTACACCACGGCGTGGTTGTGCGCAGAGTCCCCCGTCAGAGAGAAAGTGCTGCTGATGATCTTGGGCTCATCCTGCCGGTTATTCCCTCTCCCTTCCTGCCTGTTCCATCTGAAATCGGACTTCAATTGCTTGTGTCCGTCAAACAACGAGCCCCGGTTCTCCGGAGCTCCGGCGTCCACACCGGCCCGCCCGCTCTCACTGAACTCGGCAAACTCAGGACCACTTCTCTTCGCTCTCCGGAGCGCGATATCCTCGCCCTTCTGGGGCTCCCCTGCCTTATCACTGCCACTGTGACTTTCTTCATTGGACCCTGGTTCTGTTGTACTAACTCCATCCACATCTTGAGGCGGGACAACCTCGACAGAAACGGCTGTCTCCTGCTCGTCGTCTACTCCAGTATTTTGGTCGAGTTCCTTAAACTCTACTCGGATGTTTTTTAGAGTGTCCGGCTCCTCGGTCGGGTCAGTGCGCATCCCCAGCTGTAATTCCTCCCGGTGAAGTTGCACTGGCACCGTGCAAGATGCGCAAGTTATCCTCGCCTGGGCATTTTGGAGGGTATGCGTGGCTATCATCACCCAGATACCCAGAGATAAGTGCAAGCCTGGGAAGAAGGCCAGCGCCCAAGTCCCCATCGCTGACAGTGATTTGGGGGGGTGAAGCCTCCGTTGGAGACCTTATCCTAACACCTAAGGTCAGTCGCTTCTCTCAGGTCCGATATGAAAATAAATATGCCGCCTCGGTTATTCCGGTCCTGCTTTTTTGGGGGAGCGAGAAAAAAGTGCTCTTCGAGCGAAAAACTGTTCACGTCCAAGGAGCTTTGGGTCCGGGAAAGCCACCACACAGAGGGAGGAGCTGTAACACAGCCAGCTGAGGAGTGTGCCAACCGGAGAGAGACAGTTAGTGAGAGGGAGGAGGAGAGAGAGAAGAGAGAGCAGCCAGAGAGAGAGAGAGAGAGAGAAGAGAGATAGAGAGGAGAGAGAGAGGAGAGAGAGAGAGAGAGAGAGAGATAGCAGAGAGAGAGAGAGAGAGAGAGAGCGAGAGAGAGAGAGAGAGAGAGAGAGAGAGAGAGAGAGAAAAGCTGTCCGTGGTGCTGAGTCTTCCCATATTGTTCCTTGTGGCACATGATATCATGATCTTTCACAAAATAATCCTCACATTACATTTTTCTGTTTGCAGTTTTCTAATATTACATTTTAATTGAAGCTGCCAGCAGTAGCAGTGTAAATTACAATGACTCAATGAATAAACAAATATGAATACAAAACATTAGTAACACAAAGGTCATATAATATGCAGTGCGATTTTGTGATTTTGCAGAAATTGCTCTCCTCTATTGTACCGGAGCAGTATTTACTTTGGTGGCACTCTACAAACAATTGTTGACTTGCATTTAAAACGAATTATTTCCTACATGCTTTATTTATTTATAATTACTTAGTATTTACATAGAACGCAGTGTTTCAGTAAGCCCTTGATATTCATTCTATTAGTTATAAAATGCTGACTTTCTTAAATGCCAGGCCGTGTCAGCTTTGGTAATATACTTATAATGGCTTAAAACTTACCCACAACCACAACATTTAAAAAAAGATATTGATATATGGTCAAACTAATGGTTGAGCACAAAGAGTGTGTAATTCGACTGGCAGATAATAATATTGATAATAATAACAACAACAACAACAACAACAACATTAGTAATAATAATATAAGAGTCCTCATTCAAGCTCTACTATACAGAAACAACTAAATCAACTTATTTTACAAATGTAAGTTGATCTATTTATACTCATAGTGTATATGAAATCGATGTAACACTACATTTATTCATCATTCACTTTTTATTTATTCAGGTTGATCAACTTGAGATATATATGTTTAATTAATGGATCACCCTTTGCTACAACAAAACAACACCAAGAGCCTTTGTTTACAGCTTCAACTAGTACATTTTTGTGAAATAGTTGTTTTATTGTAGTAATTTACAAAGTGTCTCGTAAAATAATTAGCTTTCAATATTAATGATCAAAATATAGGCAACAGCATTGATTTTTGCTCCTTTTTAAATAAGTCAGAATAAGCAAGCTAGCCCGCAAGCTAACTGTGATTAGCATTTTAGACCAGACTGGATATAGGCTAAATGCTTCCTCTCATTAAAGATGAACGACTAACTCATTTACAACATATTAAATGGATATACTTAGTTTGAGTTGGGGCAGCAGATATTCATTAGGGCTATCAGCGTTAAGGCATTAACGCTCACAATTCATCTGAAAAAGAAACAAAACTTGATCACATTACCAAATTGAACCAAACTTCCCCCTGTATGACAGATTTCTGCCATGAATCACATGTTAGTGAAACCCAAATAAAGCAGGGAATCGGCACAAGCTACATAATGCACTGACCCCTGGCCAGGCAAGAACCACCTGTGCGTTAGCCAGCTTCTGGGAGATAGAGGACAGGGTCATTGCTCACAATATGATAGCGGAAGTAAGAATACTTCCATCTGTTGCGCACAATATACAGAGGGGAGTCCCAGCGGTTATCCGTGAAAGCGGCTTTTCAATGCTATGCTAAGTGTCTGAAAATTGTCTGACAGAAATCATATTGTAATAAAGTAAAAAAACCTTTGATTTCTCTTACCCGTTTGCATTGAATATTTATCACAACCTTTTAGTATTTGTGATTTCTCCCCCCAAAAGACAAGTAAATACCGGTATTTTAAACTTGTAATTATTAATAATTTATCAAAAATGATTATTGTGATGTGAAATAATATGATACACTGTTTTCATGTAATGACACCGCTAATATTTATTGGATAGAAAACCTGTCCGTAAGAACTTGACTTGGGAACTGAAGGGTCGCCGGATCAAGTCCCGATCAGACAAACAAATGTGTGGACTGGTTGCTGGAAAGTTGCCAGTTCACTCTGCTCCTTGAGCAAGGCACTGAACAACCAACTGCTCTCTGGTCCCGAACGGCAATGTGTTGCTTTTGTTGTTGCGGTATGTTGACACTTATGTAAATCTCTCACACCAATCTCTAACACTCGGTCAGTCTGATGGTGTGAGTAAAGGGAAAATAACTGGCGCACGCGGAGTCGCACGGAGGAGTGGGGCCGCTGGGGGAGGGTATTGGGGGGGCACTCACTGATGGATTGAAAGGAATTGGCAGGGAGTTGCACCGCTCCCCGGGGGAATAAGCAGCGCCTAGAGGCATTTGAGAGAGGCAGTGCTGGTGCTGCCTCGCTTCAAGGACTTAAGAGTGCAGATGACTTGGTGATATAAAAGCAGGAAATATGTGAGTGTGTGTGTTGATGGTGCGTGAGAGTGAGAAAAACAGCAATAGAACATGCCTATATGTGTATGAGTGAACGGCTATGCTTAAGTGCTGCAGGGTTATTCATTAGTGATGTAGCATGTTGGGCCATTGTCTGTCAACTTGAATGCCGAGAAATTGCCCATAATGGGTCTGAATTTCAACAAATGTCCAAACAGAGTGTGACTAGATTAGATAACAAAACGTTTTTGTCCATAACATTACATGGAATGGTTTCTTCCACATTCTGGCAGCAGAGTCTGTGATTTAAGGGAAGAGGACAGAGTTATTTTAATATGTCCATGTAGACTGGCCCAGCAAAGGACATTACTAACTTTTTGTACCCATTTTTCCTGGCCTGTGGGATGTTAACCCTTTTGCCGGTCAATAAGCTGTTGTGATGAGTTAAGGGGGTGGGGGTGGAGGGTCATTATAGATCTAGGTTTACTTTATAGTTATGGCCCATTTCTATAGGTTCTGGAGCATGCTGCGATTGTTAATGGCCAATGACGATAGCTTAGTTTACCACCTTTTTCACTGAAAGATCCCCTACTTCAGAAATTCACAAGTGTGGAATTTACCGACGTATTTTAATTCGTAGAAGAAAAAAGTGTTAATCACAGACCTCAGTTCAGGTATCTTACCGAAAACACGTGGAAAAAAACGTTGACTTCGAGACAATGGAACCTGGAAGTGCTAAAGTGCTGACTCATTTCAGGGTTTTAGGACTAAGTTCTGCAACACTATAAGTCCAATATACAAACTTAAAAGTTGATGACGATGTCAATCTTGAGGACCTACAAAAAGCAGTTAATAGTTTATGATTAATTAACATTTGATTGATTAATTGTTACCCATAAGGCCATGCTAATTTGCCAGCAGTTGTTTCCATCCTTGGAATCAAAAGTCAGGGTAGGAAAAAACACCAAATTATTAGATTGTTTAATACAAGGTTGTTTTTCATACTTTTCCTAATTATTTTCGTGTGAATTACTGTAAATAAGGAGCTCTTCAGGCATATAGCAGTATTTATGTAAACATTCCAAGAAGAAATAATCACCCTTTAGCTGAACAGTTTTAATGTAAGATGTTCAAAAGGAGACACAGCTTCATTTTTAAAGAATCGTTCAAGAAGATGCTTGTTTGTTTCTTTGCTTGGAAACAGATAAGAGCGATACCACTCTCACATGTCTGCAGTAAATATAAAGCTGGAACCAGCTACCGGTAAGCTTACTTAGCTTAGCATAAAGCTGAAGTGGTCCTGTCCTATGAAACAGTGCGGAATTTGATGGTTCTCCACTTAGCCTTTTGTACAGATTAAACAAATATTATATATTGAGTGACCATAGGGATGAAATTGTATTTTTCACTCAGTAGGCGATGTCTGAGGTGTTTTGCCCTCCAGCTAGTTTGTTTCGTGTTTTTTCAGTAGTCAGTAAACTAGACAGGAAGCAGGAAGTCAATAAGTATTACCATATTATTTGAGTCTACAGTAAAGCTGGAAATGTAACGTTACATTATTTCATAACTCCTGTGTTTTATTTTGGGAGTTTGGCTAGCTGTCTAATTTTGGTAAGAAATAAGGAGGACAGTTCATTCAGCATTATAACAATGATGTCATCATAGAGCACTAGTTTTAGTATGGACGTACTCATTCTGCTATTTGTTCTGTCATGGACAGGTCCAGCTGACTAATGTGCTATAAGTGGTAATGAGCGATCCACGTTGCATGTGTAGAACTTGTCCTCAAGGAAATTCCAGAAAGTATTAAATACAGAACTACAAATCTTCATTTTGTCTTGTTTGTTGTGTGAAAAGGTTTTTTGTAAAGTGACCGTGTATCCGAAAAAGCGTTATAAAAACAAAATGTATAGTTATTATTATTTCACTAACCCTGAAATACTTGCAAATATTTTACTCACACTACCTCACGGCTTTAACAGTCAATTTACATTATAGTAAAAAAAAACGGCATCTTCTTTCCGTACCTTTATTGTGTGTGTGTGTGTGTGTGTGTGTGTGTGTGTGTGTGTGTGTGTGTGTGTGTGTGTGTGTGTTTATATTGTGTATTTTTGAGATAATCCATGTATATTTTCTACCGTTGATTGGTATATATTTACTGTTTGTTTATTTGTATATCTTTGTATAATATGTTTTACTTTTGAGATACCTTTTAACGTGCTGCTATGAAAAGCCCATTTCTGGATGAATAAAGTTCTAATCTACTTGGGAGTGTAATTGAGGATTAATAAGTGCGTCTGGTAGGCAGAATTGTCACCTTCGGATAAAGCCTGGCTACCTAATTCTAGTCACAGTCACAAACTATAAGGAAGTCGGATCAACACGGAGACAGAGACTGTA